GATTTCGAACGATCCTGCCAATGGGTGCCGGAGGAATATGCATAGGTACTAGGGACGAGGCTGTCGGTAGGTTACTCTAAATTGTACACCTCTCGGTAAAAACTGTTTTTAACGGAAGTGTATGGAATGATAAAAGGGGCGGTCAATTCAACCAATGGATCCGCGCATCCGGTAACAAAAATGTCGGCAAGATCCTGGCGATGACTCCGACGACAGTGGCACCATTTTCCAAATGTCGACATGCCCGGCTCCCACAATGATCACTGGCGCAACTGTCCGTCCCACATACCTATGTTGGCTACGTGAATTGTAGACGATGCATTGGTCGACAGGGTGGATGCCCGCCTTCACCGGTCCTGGCTGTCGGTACAACGTGGTGCAAAAAATATGGTACAAAACTTTAGAAAATGGTCAAAAACGGAGAAATCTGTCTTGATCCTAGCCGTGCATGGATACATGGCACGTGCAGCGTCACACGTGAGATCATGCGATTCACCGTTCAATGCGATCGCATCTCGATCGAATCATGCGACCGCATCTCGATCGATCGGTTGCCGATATGCGGCCATGGTTTCGAACGGCCGTTTGCCGGCTTTGGCGCAGGTTGTTTTTTTAGTCAACCCATGAAAAACCAATTGGCAAGAAGTAATTTGCAACTCGAGTCAAGCGCCACTCGTCGACTACACCGGCATGAAACTCATTTTCACGCGTGAGCCCGTGCGCACTTTCGTTGCGTCAAGTTTGCACCTTTGGCCGATCCACCGTTTGACCTCCACACCCGTCCAAGGTAAAAGACGACAAACAGACAGACGTTACGTAAGTTGTTGTTGTAAGTGCATTTGCAAGGAACATCATGCGTTAACATCAGACAGCACTGATAGCCTTATTCCCCGTAGAATAACCAGGAGAGGAGTTGATACAGATCGATTTATATAGATGGACAGATAGATGGATTGATATGTCGGCTGCGTGTCCTTATCAAAACGAATATTGTCATAAGGTCATGTATGCGAATAATGTCACCTTAATATATATATATATATATAAATATATATATATATATATATATATATATATATATATATATGTACATATTAACGTACCTGGTTATTCTACGAGAAATAAAGCTGTTAGTACCGTCTTATCTATAAACAGACGGACGGACGCACCCTGCTCAAATACAGTGATTTCGACACGCGATTCCGGTTTGCTTCACTGCCTTAAGTGAGGACGCCGTTGGCGCTGGTAGCGTCATCATCAAGGGATTAACGTTGGCTCGTTTTTCAACAATACGAAATCAATGTCAGCTAAGGGATGTAAGCTGCGTAGCATTGACAGAACGTTCAGACTCATTAACCGTACAATGCTCGTTCATACAATCAGGACATCTAACGGATGTGTTCTAATTGTGGTGCCTGCTTGCTTCGCTGTGCAAAGGGTCATTGCCGTCGGTGTGATTCGCATCTCAATTACGCAGGGAGGTCCTGGTTAGTTTTTCTGACCTTTGGATGCCTGCGTCATTTGGCAGCCCCACGAGTGAGGGCACACTATATCCATTATTTAACGAACTCCGTGACAAGTCTCCGAGACCTGCCCTTTGCACAACATGTTTCTCATTCGAATACGAAAAGCGTCTCCCTGCTCAATGTTGCGACGCATCCCCTTCCATCCGCCGCGCTGACTGCGGCCGGGGGCGGTGTTGGGCCTCGGTACATTTGTGACCTCTGTCGCCACGAATGTTGAGAAAGTCGCATGTACAAACCTCATGACAGCCCGTGCAGCCTTCTGCGCCTGGATCACAACGCCCAGAGGTCTGGCGCTGGGATCCAGCGAAGGTTAAGGCCGCATACGCATACGCCCCAATATAAGCAGTGATTGCGAGGTTTAACTTGACGGCCGATTGCCATGGCGAGGCATGTCATGTTAGCCTTAAACCTATTACCTGAACACTACCACGTTCCATCCAGAAGTGCCAATGGGTTAGCAGAACGTGTAATTATCTCCTGTTTTGAATGAAGCCGGTATACTTCCACAAGGCCGACTGCCCGCCATTTTATTACTGTCTCTACTTCATTTTCCCAGGGAGCACGGTTCTGTACAGGCTGCGCCGACTGTAGATGCGAATAAGCCCAAAATACACACGAACACGAACTATACCGACATAGCTCTACTAAAAATATGACTCGGGAGCGCTAAACAACTGCAACTCTGCACACATGCATCTAAATATTTGAGGGGTGGAGACGACATTCGCTGAATTCAAAAAGACGACATGCTGGTCGTCGGGGACAAGAAGGCGAACGTCTCCTTCTTCCTTTTCGTTATTCATTCGTTTTCTGGGGTGACAGTAGGAAGAGGCGTAGGCCATGCTACTACCAAGTAATAGTTTGGGACCGCCCGGGCTGTAGGGTATCGCGCGACGGTGTAGGGTATCGCGTGCGTTCGAGTCACTACGAGAACCTCCCGGAGTCCCCAAGAACGCGCAGGAGCTTCCGAGGTCACCACCAGCGCACCGGATGCACCGCACCGGGTATGCGGACACCACTAAACTAACCCTACAGTCGCATCAAAACAATAAGAACCGATGGACTCAAAGTGGCAGCGGTAAAAAATGAAGAAGGGAATCCAAGAAAAACTCCCGTAAGAGACGATCATAATGTTCGGTATATCAGGCGCTTGCTTGCAGAATGACTTGCTTTTCGGATCTGCACCAAGACTCGAGATAAAGGGCCTGTCCGATCTTTTAAAGAAAGACAGTGCACAATTGTGGTTATCTTCAAAAAGATGGGATCGTAGTTACTTGACCGTATGGGACACCAAGCAACGCGCAAACGCCTATTCCACCTTGAGGCTTTGATCAAATACTTGACCTAAGATGCTTGTTATGGGCATCGCTCAGGATCTTCCCAGGAGCTAGGATCTGTTTCATTTCCACAACTGTGATTTTCCGCAGTACATACTCAGTCCACGGAAACCTTCGGCAACTTTTCTTCTCGTTCTAGGCGCACAGATAAAATCATCTAACAATGCAGCGTTATAAAAACCTTTGAAGCCCCTGAGATGGGCCTCTTATAACAAAAATGCGACAGACGGAGATCAAGACGCCGTGGCACGAGCAATAGCACTTGGATAACGATATTATGAAAACAGAAGGGAAAAGGGGCCACTTTCCTGCAAGGTAGCGGAAAAATTGGGAGGAAACGCAATGTTTACTTGTTGAGGTGCTGTTGGTTCCATTGGTACATATCTTGCATATACCTGTTGTAGCTATTTTAACCATGTATATATATATATATATATATATATGAATACATGCATTATGGTATATACACGGTATATACATTGTACCCAATGCAACTATTGTGTACAAGCCTCGCTCGTGATCCTCGCAAGGATGCTTTCAAAGGACCTGCCTCCCTCTGGGATTATTTACTCTTTGCCGGAAGTGACATTTCATAAGCTACCACATTTATTATGATGATTCCCATGTTGATCTAGAGGGAACATAATTTGAACTCAAGCTGCATAGAAAATGCAAATTCATAAAACCGCTTTTTTAATCATCATGTGCACGCAATAGCGTCCAATGTACTGAAGGCAATGTTTCACGCTGATCGATAATGAAGCACGCATCAGATGTGACGAAATAGGCTCACGCATAAATATTGTTGCACTTTTATGAGGAAAAGACGACCCTGGACAACGCAATGTCTCTGTTCAGTGAATATGCTCCTTGATATGCTATTGTTTCATGACATCATCGTACCTTGCAAAGTATTGATTGGGAGCCAATTGGCAGTCATTATATCTGGAAATAATGCTTATGAACGCCAGATATGAACGCCTTGACCATTACATTTTGCTTGGCCTTGACCGCCGCGCAGCTAATTGAGTGGCAGGATTTGAATGGCGTTATGATGGGGTCATGCATGTATAGGTGACCATATGGCTTTTTTGTTTCAAAACCCCATACAGATGTGTCACACTCCCTTTAAATAAAACATTCATATGTGTACTGCAGAGTCTTACCCTGGCTGGTAAGTGTACAGCAGCCAGTGGAAATTCACCATCAAAACAGTCATCACCGTCTCAGCGATGGTCCGGTTATCCACCTCTCTGAGAAGCTCTGATCGGCCTATATTTATGACCTTTCTCAACCAGAAGGACAGTGCCTTATGGCTGCCCGGGTTTCCCTAATATGCACTTTGCTATCAATGTTAGGGTGTATGTTCTTGTCAGTGTCAGACGCCTGTGTCTGTGAAGGGATGTGAAAGATCTGCTCTCAGCATCCAGAATGGAGACAGATATTGAAGCTTCCAGTAGCCTCACTGCGTTTTGTTCTTTATCGTAACAGAGTTACAGATGAGACAGGTCATGGGACGGAAAGTGAGCAGCCAAGGTCTAGTCTCAGTCCGCAAACCTAAGCACGTCCATGGGCCCGTCCACGAATCTCAGCATGTCCATAGGCCCGTCCGCCGACCTCAGCACATCCATAGGCCCGTCCACGGACCTCAGCACGTCTATAGACCCGTCCGCCGACCTCAGCACATCCATAGGCCCGTCCACGGACCTCAGCACGTCCATAGGCCCGTCCGCCGACCTCAGCACATCCATAGGCCCGTCCGCCGACCTCAGCACATCCATAGGCCCGTCCGTCGACCTCAGCACATCCATAGGCCCGTCCGCGGGCCTCAGCACATCCATAGGCCCGTCCGCCGACCTCAGCACGTCCAGTCCGAGCTCAGTCGGAAGCAGGGGGAGGGACTACTTCGTTTGAATAATTAACTTGACGTGGAGGGCCCAACCTGCGCAGGAACATCACGTCTGACCTTATCCAGCGTCATTCCCATGGCCCCATACGCAACGGCTGGACCTGTCTGCCTCGCTGCAGGTTGCGAAAGTAAGTTTTCCTCTAGCGAGTCTTGGAACATGACTTAGTCATCAGAGCACACAGTTGTGTTGCGTTAGTAAGTTGCGTTGCCTTGTGCAACTGAGCTTACTTGCGAAAAACCAGAAGTAGATGAGCTTGATCGACAAGAAATTCTTGTCTATGTGGTACCATTTCGTCGCCGGTGGGCTGACGGCCGCAGCCTCCGCCTTTCCGTTCGCCTCTGGTGCGCCCATTCTGAAATAGATGAGACGCTATATCTGCACCGTTTGCACCTTTCTGACTGCGCCAACAGTTCGATGACGGGAGAGCAAATAAGAATGCTGGTGACGGAACGTGAATGGGGATGGCGATGGCGGAAAAGGTGCCCTCAATGTCGAGTTATAGAAATGTCTTATACGTGATACACAAACGTTGGTTTTAGAATGCACAAACATTTTCAATTGAAATAATCATATTCACAACAGTGCATTGTAATCGCATTTCATTAGAAAGAGTCGTAGGAATTTTAAAGCAACCGGGAGGTCCACGGGGAAGTGATGAATCCGTGGGGAAATGGGAAATATCATATGCAGGAGGAATTGTTTGCCGCAACATCAACTATGCTACAAACAGTGTAAGGTGCCGGCAGGTTGCCGTAGAGAAGTGACCTTTAACCTTCGGCATATGACCTTTGACCTTGGTTCCCATAAGTGAGTCTACCTGTGCAAAGCGCCAGCTATGAACTCTGATGTTATTTGTTGTATTTTTTCTGGGCTCTCCCGAAGTCATTTTTCGCAAGGTATGTGCACCAATGAGTGAGCAAGGCTGGTTGCGGTTAGTTTTTTTTTTTTGTCGGGACTAGTCAGTCTGGCGGGAGCAGCAGTTAGCTGCCTGGCAGATCTTGTGACCAGTTGATGGTTTGTGGCTAAAATAGGGCGCAAGAACTGTTTTAAGTTTTGAGCGTAAAGTGGGAAATGTATCGACATATTATCCAGTCGACTTCGATGCATTCCAAGATCACTAGAACAAAAGCGATTTCTTGAAATCTTAGCAAATGTCCCAAGTTGTGCCAAGCTTTGGTAAAGTTCTCAAGACCCTGCTACGCAGTGCATAGTCATATGTGGCTTTCGATCGCATCTCTTAGCCCTCTAAAATCAGGTAATCTTTAGAAACGGTACAAGAATTCATAACCATCATGACTTGTCCCTAAGATCAGTGTTTTACAGTATGCCCCGTTTTGTAACGTGCTTTTGGCACTATTAAATATGTTTTCCGTTACATCTGATGATTCCCGATAGGCTTGAAGTTTGTGTAAACATAGATTTTTCTCATATGAATTGGTTAACGTGCATTTGACATAAAATGAAGAATAAAGCCTACGACATTAATTAGATGCCACCAGGAATCTGTTATCATGTAATAGCGTGAATTTTATTACCAAAACGCTTTGTGGTAAATCCCATTCAGCATTGTAGTTGCTGATCATCACTAACACATGCCTAACATTCTACGTGGTTTGTTACCTTGGCTGTCAACTAAAACTGTGTTATCTTTTTGTTTAATCCAGTCTCGTTAGCGGCGGCAAAGGTCGGTCGTAATGATTAGTGGCCTACTGACTGACTTTTGAACATCCGTCCTGAGGTCGGCTGCCTGCCATCACCGTCGTCCTCTTGGGTGGCGCGGATGCATTTCACAGCGCCGTGTCAGTGGGAACTATTGTTGTGCGTTCATTGCAGAACGTTCTGTGGTAGCATTCAAGGGCAGTACAAGGGCGGATACGGAATATGAGTTACGGATTATATGCACATGTAGCTTTTTCCTTGGCTAATGAACTGTGCACAAATATAAGAATATGATTTGTCACACTCTGAGATGGGTAAGACTAAATGGCCATGTCTTGGAATCAAACTGATTGGTCATGGTGATGGGTAAAGAGGGCAAAGTTGCAAACTCTGATTGCAAATAAATTTGGGCAGGAAGATCTGCGACACAGTGAAGTGAAGTTGGACCGCAAATACGAGTGAGTGTTCAAGCTATTGCTGCCAAATCCTAAGTCATTCCTCACCCATCAACAGTAGTTTCTTCGTAATTGTTTCGAACAGATATGCATACGCCTTGGTGGAGTGGATAAGAATGTTGAAAACCTTTACTTACGAACCACATATTAGGCCTAACAACTCACTCTGAAAACCAATAGGCTTCCTGATTGTTTGTCAATTGCTTGTCATCCACGTCTGCGTTTAAAAATTGTTTTGTCTATTTGGGTACTCGACAACTAACTAGTCGATAACTGAAGACTGTTCATCCCTTCTTTCCACTTAAGCCAAAGAGTGGCTCTATGTTCCGCTCTAAACTTCCAGAATTTTGGAATTGTAGAAATACGACAATCACATACAAAAAAAAACACTTGTCACAGATGGGCAGGAGTATGTCCCATGCAGGTGTAGGAGAGAGGGAACTGAAGGGTCACTGTTTATATAAATATTTTAGAGGTGATAAAGCAAAAAATGCAACCTTTTCATACGGATGTAAAATATTGGTCATCTGGGTGCGTTCAACAAAATTTTGCACTGATCAATTTGTGTGCATTATTTCCTCCTACAGAAACGATAATCTCGGTTTTAATTCCCAGCTGCAAAACTGCAAGTCGACCATCACCATACTTCAAAATATTTTTGTCATATGCCGGACGTTCGCTTCGGGCGTATTGATAATGACCAAGCAAGTGTTCCATGTGGCTTGAAAAGGTTGTCACAATGTAACGTTTTGCACCGCCTCGTATGCTAACGCACATGGTGTTTCGAAGCCATCGAGCATGCTGAATATCTGGTACTGCTGCCACTTATGCTTTCGGGTAAAATGTAACGAATCCATCGAATTGGCTACAGCGTTAACCGTGTGCTTTAAGGGAATTTGCACACGTATGCCCATGCCGTAGGTTCCATTTCTGAATCGTTAACTTGCATTTGGAATTTACTTGTTCCATGGCGGTTACAGAACTTTTTGAGAACGATGCTGCGATGAGGATTGCACTCACGTTTAGGAGCAGAATCAAGGCCGACATGGCAGCCTACAAGGATGAATTGCGGATCAGACTGCGGTCCTGCTAGACGAGTTTTGACGAGCCTTGTTCGCACTTTATTAGGACATTCCTGCAGCAGTGCCCCGCATGTATCACTGGTTCGTTGGTTTGACTACCCAGCTGGTCAGGACGTGAGGTTGGCGTAGCTGAAGACCACACAAACGCTGCACACCTAGCTAAGGAAAACGACATCAACGTCGCCAGCACTCCAGTCATGCCTCGCTTCCTGGCTCCACGTCTCTAGTCTTACACCACCTACGACACGAGCGTGGCGTCGGAGAGGGAGCACACCTGGTGACCGCGTCGCTGGCGACTTTTGTTCCATGGGCCTCCCGAGTGAACTTGTCCTTCACGTCAGCTCGTCAGGACGGCGTTTGGGCCACAGCCCGTGGACTCGGGCGTAATTACAAGGGTGCAGAAGCAGGGGAGGGGATAGCAGTTTTGCATCGTCATGCCCATAGTCTTCAACAAATGTTTAAATTGAACCCTGTGGCGATACAAGAGGAGAATAAAATCGGTGTTCGCTCCACTTCTGGGACGTTCCCACCTCTGCGTTGAGCTACGTTGTTTAAGTGTGCTGTGATCATGTCTCTACTGTGCGTGCGCGGCAAGCAGGCCGAGCACGAGTCAGGCCGCCTACAGACAACTCACCTGTGTCGCACTGCGTCGCTGAGCCGGCCTGCCCTGGTGGCCTGCGAAGCAGCTCTGGCAGCGCGGCAGTCACGCCGCGCCCTCGCAGCCCTCCCCTCCCCCGGCCTTGCCAGCTCCAATCGGGGCCTCGCAGCGATCTCACACGTCCGGGCAGGGGCACAGTGCTCTCACTCTCTCACGTGTCGGCGCTGAATGCAGCTGTGAGTGGCAAGAGTGAGAGCTGGAAGGCATGAGGGTTGGTGGCCAGGTTTGCTCGCTTTGTCTTATGGCTCTCCGAATGCCGGTAAAGTGGTGGCGTGCCAATTGGGATGCTCTATCATAACCCGCAATAGGAGAGGCAGCTCGGAGAAAACCGGGCCCCTAAACCTTGATGCAGCGGCGTTGTCGTCACTATACTTGACGACCGGTCCTGGTTGTTCCACACGTGCTGAAAATAACTGCTGAGGCTGGGGTACCGAGCACTTGTCGACGAATCGGGTTATGTGTAGGGGAGGGTCATGGCTACCTAATCGAAATACAAAGCTAGGACTGGACCTCTGCCTACACGGACCTTGTGGAGCCACAATACTCCACAGCAATACAAAGAGGATGTGGAGGCACATACCAGGTCGCTGTAGATCGAAGATATGTGCGCATACTTTCAACCTTCGCCGGGCCAGGAGGAAAATGGTTAGATTCCCCTGTAGGTCCTTTAGGAGGGAGGTGCAGTGACAGAACTTACCCTCTCTGATGTCTGCAATAACTTCTTAGCCATTAAAACTGTCATGCTGATATTTTGCCAGCTGGTCTTAGGCTATTTCTACATATAGCGTCAGTTTTTCGGCAATTTTGTCGGAATGAGTCGTGACTAACAATTCATATGGGAAAGGCATGTCATTCACGTTTCTCGCTAGATCGACAGTATAGTTCTCTTGATGACATTTAATGTTTCGCAAACTGATGGCTCCGTTTCATTTGTTGACACGAATTACAGTTGCGGTGCAGATTTAAATACAGCGAAAGCAAAATACATTGTTTTGTTCCCGGGATGGCAAATTGAACAATCTCTGGATCCGGCGATTGATATTCCTTACCAAAACAATCGCGAAGAGCCAGCTTTTCTATTGCGTCCCTTGAATGTAAATTATGGGCCCAAGACCTCCAATTCATGGCCTAGTAACGCAGCCTTCTACTGGAAAAAGATGACTTTGTCCATGTTTAGCACAGCCCCGCTCATAGCATTCTAACAGGCAGAGCTCGTGGAGAAGTTTGCCGGTGTTCGGACGGAGGGACTGGGCACTAGGCTGCAGATCTGAAAGGCACCGCTGGCCTTGCCGTCACGCCTGGTGTAGCCGCCTCTGGATCTCCGACGGCGGGTGGTGACGTCACTCGCCGCGTGGTGACGCCACTGGTGTTTCGATCCGTCGCGCGAGTGTTCTGAATGTGGCGCCTCGCCTGTTGACTGCGGCACAGGCCATAACTTGTGTGCCAGCTGGGCTACAAATATCTTCAGTTGAGTGTAGCACCTGTCAAAACTGTCGTATGGTAGTGGATTTTCGAAACGCCCCCACGTGCATCAGGATGCATGCAACTAAAGATATAAAAAGACATAAAGGTAAAAGATAGAGGATATCAAGATAAAGGATATAAAAAGACAGCTTTCGTGAGTCTCAGCTTGCATCACAAACTGGGTTCGCAAACTCTCGAATCTCACTTATCACTTTATTATCATAGAGCCCCATACCCGTCTTATGGCCTGACACAGATTCCCAGCCCTGCTTTTCCGCGGGCCGACCTCGCCACGGGTCGCTCCAGACCAACTCGCGCGACGAGGCAGCGCCTGGCGCCGGTCAGCTCCAACCCGCAAAATAGCAATGCCAGCTGCCAACATGACGGCTAAAGCAATGCCATAATGTCCCGTTAGCCGCAGAAGTTCTTCTTTGCCAGCTGTCACATTCACCATGCTCCTCTACTGACTTCGGTAGTAACTGGCACGCTAAGGTATGAACACGCTTTGAGCCGAGTAATCAGCACGTAAGCACTAGATGACCAGAAACCCACCGGGGCGCTGTGACGCAATCACGCGAGTCGACACATACGCGAAGTCGGCAATCACGTGACTTCACGCGTACGCGAAGTCGGCTTCGGCCGCTGCCTGGCCGGAGCGAGGCGTTTGGCTCCATTCTGATGACGACTTCGTGACGAGATGGCTGTCGGCTGAGCCGACAGGACAATGTCGGCATTACGCTGCGTCGACACTGCGAACCTCCTGGACTGTTGCCAGCTCGTGCGAGCTGGCTTCGGAGGCGGCGTAGTTCGTGGCACCCTCAGCTGTGAAAGAAAACGGCGTCGCTCAAGCATGCGTGCTGCTGCATTGACAGCTTTTGCAAAGACGTAGTGATGGCTCCGCTGCGTTTTATTTGCATATTTTCATGGATCCGAGATGGCTAGTGGAGTAGTATAAAAGCACGGCGTTCTACATGTGTCATGCATTATTCAAGCATGGTCTTACCCATGCTCAACAGACGCAAAGCAATCAGAGGGTTCTAGGTTTACCATATGAAAGCATGCAGGAATGATAGCAAGACTGACCCAGGCAACAGACACCCGGCCAGGATATGGCCTGAACAGGTGGCGAGCACCACGTTACCAGGGGGAGGGGGAGGGGGCGCCAGGAACTGACCACGTTGACGCTCCTCTCGTTGCGAGATCCTCTGACGGAGACAGCCGTAGTAAACGATGGCGTAGAGCACGCCGCTCACGCCGCTGGCGACACCCATAGTCCGGAAGGTGAAGGCCGGTCCGGACAGCGCCATCAGATAGCCGCCGATGAAGCTGCCGACGCCGCGGCCTGGCGGCACGAGGAGGTCGTGGCTGGTAACAAGAAGGTGGAGGAGCTCGAGGCGGTCGAGGCGGCCGAGGAGGTCGAGGAGGTCGAGGAGGTCGAGGAGGTAGAGGAGGTCGAGGAGGTCGGAGAGGTCGGGGAGGTCGAGGAGGTCGAGGAGGTCGAGGAGGTCGAGGAGGTCGAGGAGATCGAGGAGGTCGAGGAGGTCGAGGAGGTCGAGGAGGTTGGGGAGGTCGAGGAGGTCAAGGAGATTGGGGTGGTCGAGGAGGTCGAGGAGGTTGAGACGACCGGGGCTGGTGACGTTGGCCGCCGCCAGAGAGATTCAGCGCAGGGTGCGTGGGAGGCAAGGAGGTGACCCAGCGACCGTAACGACCTGCTTGTCACAGCAGTTGTTTTTGGAAGCCCCTTGGCGGTGTATTGGGATTTTAGACACAATCTGCCTAGACAAAATATTTTACGCTGTTCCCGCACGCGTTTTGAGCCGTTTTATCTGTCCGAGGGTCTGGATCTTATTCTCCAGCCTCAGAGCGTATTGCCGTAGAGACCGGGAGTGGGCTTACATAACTTGTCGTAGTTCTACATGCTACGCAATTGAAGCAAACAAAATGTCGTCACGGATGCGGTCAGTGGGAAAAAAACGTGAGGTAATGTCAGCTAAAACGAAGTCGTTGCATTTGATTACGAGTCCGAGTTCTCATGCTGTGCTATCGACCTTTGATGTGCCGTTTGGTACTGGCTAAGCGACGCTATAGACCATACGTCAATTGTACTGGCCATATTCGCCGTTTCAAGCCATGCTTATTGCCATGAGTAAAAGAAGCTGGCCATGCTTAAGTCAAAGCTTCCATTTCAAAACGAAGACACGTGATTCCAGCAAATAATCCTTATCTGTGCACGAAAGGAAGCATAAAGAAAGTTTTCTGCGTCTGCCTAACTTGGCGTGCCCATGACATCTAAAAACCTAAAATTTGATCAAATAAAAGGAGTACAGTCCAGTAAAAATGATATGTAAGCCCACATCGGAGAGCGCAAGGCGCGCTGCCACATCACACCCGCTCCACCATAGTGTGTGAATCATCCCGTTTCCCATACCATGCACGCGTCACGGCTACGAAAACAGCTTTATGTCAGTCCAAAACCTTGCCGGGATCGGCAATTTTTGAAATGATCGAATGTTTTTACTGAATAAAACCATCTGGATCAAGCAGAATCCAACAGCGGAAAAAGCCTAAACTGGTCCCCCTAAAGCTCTTGGACCTTCCAACAATGGAGATTGCACACATACGGGTGCAAAGTAAACGGTCGCACGCCCAACGACCAGTTAAAAAGGTCCACAACGTTCACATGCAGATGTAGCGCGAAAAAACAACAGGAGATGGTCCGCAATAGCCTCCTCTCAAATATGAATAGGTAAGGGCCCAGTCCAAATTCAGTCATTAAAATCCAGTTTCAGTTCAGCTCAGACTCAGTCTCCATTGGATTGGGCGCGCCTGTGCGTTCTCAAACGTGTTACCAGATGGTGATACCAGATTGCGCGGTCATGACAGTGTGAGCGCTCGGCGCGCTGATGAGGTCACTAGACAGTGAACGCGAGAAGGATGTTGGACGAGAGGATGACAGTGGACGAGGGGAGCACAGTGAACACGAGGAAGACAGTGGACACGAGCGGCACAGTGGACATGGGAAAGAAAGTGAACAAGAGGAGAAAAGTGGGCACGAAAAGGCGTTTGTTTTCCGGAATGCAAGAGGGCTCGTGACAAGCCAAGCACGCCCAGGCTACATACCAACGCTGTAGTGGAGCGCTGCCGCCACTCCAGTGAGCGTGGCTAGCAGTCCAGGTGGCGCCAGGTATGCGGCGTAGGTGGCAGCACTATTCCACATAAGATGAGTGGTGACCGCCTCCAGCAGCTCGAACGGGAAGCACAGCCAGGGGTTTCTGTCAAATCAAGCGAAACACATACCATTCATAGGACAAACATTGGAATAGACTTTGCATGCAATGCAAGCGCGCAGGAAGAAAAAATCAAACCTGTTGGCGTTTGGAGAGGCGGCGCGTTGGATGAGCTGCATTTCGGGGCACAAACCAAACCATAGATGCATCCCTCTTGATATGTTTACCAAACGTTGTTCCTGCTCAAATGTCATGGCACATGAACATGGCCGATTCCCTCCCCCCATGGACGACTCCCCTCCCCCATGGCCTCCTCCCCCATGGCCGGCTCCCCTCAACCTGAGTCGCTTGCGGTCACCTATAGTGTGGAATGGCTACCGTGCGGCAGTGTGTTGGTTTATGACAAGTTGAGGCATTCAGAAGGGGTCAAATCAAACCAATTCACGATGATGCATAATCACCTCAGATGTCGCCAGCAGGAATGACTTAAATGCAAGCGCATAGACGCATTGCGCAATACACGAACGGAAATACTCAATGTGCGCGGTTTCCCAAAACTTCTGCCGTTGAAAACGTTTCAGCCTTATCTTTCCTAAAACAATCAGCAGATTGTGATTCGAAAAGCGGATCTTCGAAAAATATCTGGCCATGTGCGTCTGTCTACTAGTCGCTCTGGCATTGCTGCATGTAGACGCCTCAAGGCGTTACATTAACCACGTTTCAATATGCCTAATGCCTTACGTATGTGTATCGTCCAGTGCCCCCGGATGCGTTTACTGATAGCACCCCGCTTACCGCTATACAGCCTTAGGAAGCGGTTGGGCTTAACAAAGTATTGCCTGCTTTCCAACAGTCATGATGCGCATAGATACGCAAATACGCATACAAGTGCTGCTCATCAACAACAGGCTGTGCAAACATTGATCGAAATGCTTCATCTTCATCTGAATACCCCCTGTCATTTTCAGCTGAGCTCCGTCCAAGCTCGTCTCTGTAGACTTAATTTTCTCGATGCGGATAATCGAGTCCTCCCCGCTCAGGAGTCCGCATGTTTCGCGCACTATTTAGCAAAGTATCAGAAATCCGATCCTGGGATGAGGCGGTTTGAATGACTAGTCATTTGGGTATCCAGAGTCTGCACAAACCCTACGCTTTTCTCTCGTTCTGACGCCTGAGCTTTTTGGATGTGCATTTTTCCTGAACCACATTCATTCATGATCACGATGACTAACTCGAAACGTCAAGCATGCTCATGATCGGTAATGTTGGAGAGAACGGTAGCTCATACACGCAAGCAGCCTTCTGCGCGGTCCGGTGCCGTTCAAACACGCCTGCTGAGGCTGCAGGCTGTACAGCTCACGCATTGCGTCACGACCTATGCATGGCCGCGACTAGCTGCAAGATCATGACCTCCACGTGGGCACCCCACGAGTGCATCCCGCGGGCGTCCTGAACACCCGGAATCAGTGTTTCCGCAACTGCCTCAATTACTTTGATGTCTGATTTTCCAGGCTCCCTGGCTTGTTTAAGGTAAGCTATATTCAACACAAAAACTTGTGATGCCGTTTAACGATCTTGGTCAGCAAATTGGATGTCAAAGTCGGCGGAGAGATCCCTTTCCAATTTCTCTTTCTTTTTCACTGCATTTTAAAGCTATCGTGTGTTCTCACTACACCTGTACGTGCAGCGGCGTCTCCCACCTGATGAAGGAGTATCCGATGTATCTCACGGCGTAGCCGGCGAACGAGGCGATGAGGATGTTGATGTGGCCGACCTTCCTGCAAATGGCGTCTGACCACCAGTTGAAGGGCAGCGATGCCAGGCCGGCCGCCGTCAGGGTCAAGCCTGACACGGTAGATCAGGTCAGGTCGGAGCAGGCGTCTCACGACACAGCTCAGGGGCACCCGACGGAACAGCCAGTGCCGGCGGTACTCCACGGCACCCGCCATCCGCTTCGACCAGGGCCCAGGCCTGCAGCGAACAAGCACTGCGAAGATGCACACACCAGAGGCGCCCACGTGCCCTATCTCACCGTATTCCTGTCAGCATAACTCTTCCGCACACGGCTTCCCTCCCCTTGCTTCAACATGGTAGCTTATCTTCATGTCCAATAGATCAAAGTGGCATCCCGGAATGCACGGCTTACTGCTTGATATCAGTGAATTTAAATCTTCGTAGATTATCACTCGGCTACGTTGTGCAAAGACATTATAACGAACGGTAACGACATGCTATCTTTTCATCTTTGACAAAACCACGTACCCAGCATGTAGAGTGGAGCGTTGAGACCCTTGAGAAAAACGAATAGGAAACTCTCTAGAAATCCCCACATGGTTCCCAAAATGGTGACGATTATGACGTAAACGAGAGCCTCAGGACGTTTAAAAATCTGAAACAAGAAAAATCACAGTGCTTCGTAAGGATCTTGAGGAGGGATATTTTGGACCATTGACGTGAACAAACACATGTAATAAAGTAATACATACATCAACATTAAACAGCCGTCAGAGGACAGCCAGCTGCAACTAACATAACCATCTCCACGGACGTTTATGATTGATGAAAAATGACAAAACTAAATAAAGACCGCCAGAGACGTACTCCGCGCAGCATTGAAATCTAAGACCCTTAGGTAAAGTGTCTCATGTGAATGACTCAGGATAAAATGATAAGCTGAACATCCAGTGTGGTTTACAAGGAAAAATACTGCTCTCCATGTTAAAATGGCCTCATTACAAAAGCGGACAGCTCAGGTACACAGAGGTAACTGGGGCGGTTGTGTACAAGTAATCTAAAATAATAGAAGCAACGACTGGAAACATAAACCAATATCTATCTTGAACGATGTTCAACAAAACGTGGCTGTCATGCCCTTCAAACGTCAAATTCATGTTTGCGTCGCTGACCGCAACGCTCGGCAAACTTCAACAGCGTTTCTGATCGCCGGTACCTTGGCGAGCTCCTTAATCCGAGCCTTTGCCGGCAGTGCCACCTGTAGGTCAAATGCGAACAGAGTGACGATGGTGAGAAGCACACACAGGTCCATTGAGTAGAAGGCCGGAGCGTAGTTTACGCGGTCTGAAACAGATTGCAGTGCATGAGGCCCTGGTGCGTGAGGCATGATTTAACTAAGCTTCCAGGTCAAAACAACTCAACAGTCACGAATCCTACAGAGGGCGGCCATCTGGCCCTGGAATGGACACAAGCAACCAGCAGTGTCATCAGGTACGAGACTGCACAGTCCTCCTCAGCCTGATTAACCGCCTGCAGTCGGGGCAGTCCTCCTGAGGCTGAATAGACCTTCCGGGGCGGGACCACCGTCCCCAGCCAGGACCGTCGTCCCCAGCCAGGACCGTCGTCCGCAACCAGGACTGCTGTCCCCAGCCTGAACAGCAGCCCCTTATTTGAACGAGAGTACCCCGCCTGGAGAGCTCACCGGATGAGCTGACCGAATCGATGATGAGCCCGACAAGCGGCGAAAAGACGATGGTGGCAACAATGGCCGGCACGCGCTGGCGGCCAAAGTTCTGCCCCGCCGTCTTGTGCTGCTCCACCAATGCTAGGGAAGTTGCGTCCAGCAGCGTGAAGGATGTCGATAGGAAGAAAGTGGCCGCCAGCCGCAGCGCGAGATACACCCAGAACGTGGTCCGACTGGAGACTGGCACGCCGGGGCTGGGCTGGCACTCGAGCTGGCACTGCGGTGGGCAGCGCAGCGCCGCCAGCGTCGGCAGCGCCAGCTCCGAGCCGTTGCCGGTGAGACGTGCCGGCAGCAGGCAGCCGTCGCCGTCGAGCGGCAGGCTGAGGCGCGCGCCGGGTGCCGCCGTCCGGCAGGCGTCGCCGGCGCACGCCTGCAGCGCCGTCTCGCCGTCTGGGCAGATGAGGCGGCAGTCCTGGCTGCGCGAGAGGTTGCTGCGGGCCGGCAGCGGCCAATCGGCACAGCCCAGCGTGCTGTTGTTGGACGAGGCGGCCAGCGCGCGCGGCGTGGTCAGCGTGCTCGGCGGCACGAACAGGAGCGCCTGGTGCAGCGAGCAGTACATCACGAGGCAGAAGACGTATATCTCTCGGATACGCCCCGTCCGGTCGGCCAAGTACCCTGTGCAAACAGGGACAGCGCAGGTAAGCAGCGGCACACACAGAGACATCACAGGTCAGCAGCGGCACACACAAATACAGCGCAGGTCAGCACCGGCGTACGCAGAGACAGCGCGCGTCAGCAGAGACACACAGAGACAGCACAGGTCAGCAGCAGCGCATGCAGAGACAGCGCAGTTCAGGAGCGGCTCATGCAGAAACAGCACAAGTCATTGGCGTGGCGAGTGCACGAATATCACAGCAACAGGCCATGCAGGCAGCAGGTCCTGAAGCTGCCTTCGACGAGGTCATTTTGTCAAAATTCATTGAGTTATATCTTGATCCAGAATGGCTGCTTTCGTTTCACGAGGCCTTACAAGTCTTTCTTTCTCCGTTCGTTTTGGACACGTCTTTGCCGATCACACTTCGCAGCAGCCCAGATTACGACAAGGCAGCGTCCTGTCCCCCGGATTATTTTAACAATGATCAAGAATGCGTGGAAATAAATACGCGACATATTGTTCAGACTTGTTCTCGGTGCGTTGGTCCCATCGTTACATGATACACACATACTGGTGTTCATAGAGCTAACAGTAGCGCACAGATTTCTCTCAAATCCACAAGTTCTAGGCTTAATAAATAAAGTCTCTCAATGTCGTCAGAAAATCGGCCACAGCTACTTTCGTCAGGGCAGCTTGTCGTATATATTGAAGGGCATTCATGGAACTCAGCAGGTCGTACGCATGAACCTACACACCTAACGGCTAGGCATTTTGGTATGTCATTAGCCCGCAGTCCTTCATACCACCCGCCACCTGTAAATTTCTGACGAACAAGGTTGTTCCTGAAGTAATCAAATGCACTCGGGTGTATGGTAGAACGGGGATGGGATCGGTTTATTTTTCACCTACTACTGACACGCGCTCGGGGCTTATCGGCTAATTTTGTACATCATCGACAGTGCCACTCAGAACCTGTCTGGACTTCCCAAGATTGGACGAGCGCAGCAAGCTGACAAACCACGTGGTAGTACAAGCGTGCCAGTGTCCATGGCAGCACCTGACCGCGCACGCGCTCACGGTCCCACCATCCATTCCTTAATATGATTGTGATGTATGGCAGTTGTTTAGGACGCCTACGCGCCAGGCAAGCGGCAGTTGCGAGTGGGAGTTGGCCTTGGGTGGTCGTGAGGGGCAGGGGCGCGGTGTATCCGGACACCTCAGACGTTATATTATTGCTATTGTTGTTATTACCGAGATATTGGCAAATACTCACGGTAACACCTGACTTAGTGTTTGGTCGGGCTGTGAGAACGGACGATGCTACAGTGATGAAGCAATGAAAAAATGCAAGCGTAAGTGGGACGTGAACACACCACAGCAAAAGCATAAGAATCGCCAAAGGGCAAGATTGAGGAAGACGCACCTTTTCTTACGTCATTGGTTTTATCGATCCCAAGGCCTACAGATGACCGAGCGATTGTGCCACGGTGGTTCCCTCACATCTTCAGTATTCTTTTCATTTGCATCAGGGTGTGTCGCCACGACCATTGTGAGCCCTATTCAGAGCCGGCATGTCATGCGTTCACGCGATTGCGGCGTAAAAAGAAATGTGGAGGTGATTCTGAAAACAAGGTCAGTTTGAGACTTCGCTGAGAGATTGAACTGTCTTACATATATTTAGGACCATTCTTATATTGTCTTGCAATAATTATGATAATGATAATAGCATTATAAATATATATATATATATATATATATATATATATATATATATATGTGTGTGTATGTATATGTATATAGATATAGATCTAGATCTAGATATAGACAGATATATATATATATATATATATATATATATATATGTATATATGTATATATATATATATATATATATATATATATATATATATATATATATATATATATGCATATATATTCTAATATTATCACACAATTCTAATAATATGGACAATATCTTATAAATACATTAATTTACATTGCGTGCCTATTTAGTAGGCGTCAAATCAGTTAATCTTCGGCAGGCGGACTCCAAACTATGATTCATGATTTTGCAAGAATGAGCATAAACATGATTAAAGACCAATGAGTTGAAGCATACAAGTTTTGTATGAACATCACTGACTATTATGACAGCAGGTGTGTTGTCTGCAACGAGCGGTTATCCTGTCAGGCCACAACGTTATGTTCTATTTCAATTTGCTTGTCTTATTAAACATCAAACATGCCCATACAGGTTTTACTATGAAGAGTGACAGAATTCTATCTCCCATTTTCGAGGTGGATCGGCTTGACTGAAGAAACTTCGCATTTGACGATGATAGTCATGCCATCATCAAATCCAGCCCAGCGCCCTTCCATGCGAATCTCAAAATCAGCCCAAACCAAAAAACCGCCCCGCCAGCAGATGGCACCAGCAAAGTGA